GAGCCGGGAGGAGAAGAGGGGGAGGGAAGGACGCGGGCTCCCGCGGTCCCGGATCCTCGAGGGAGGTGTGATCACTCCCACGTAGCGACCCTCTTGTGCGTCCTGCCGCCCCCTCCTATGCAGACCTCCCCCCACCGGCTTCTCACAGGGCCTTCCCAGGCTCGGCGTCCCGCGCCAGCACTCACCGCAGCCTCTCTCCACATAGTTCTCAGCAGTGGCCGCCCCTGGTCATCTCCAGGGCTGATTGCTGCGGCCGCGACTCTCAGAGCTCATCGGTCCCCATGCTCCGGCACAGCACCCCGGGAGCCTCTCTCCTAGAGCCCTGGCTCAGCTTCCTGCTCCACTCCGGACAGCAGCTGCCGGGTCCTCTGAGCGCGCCTGGACACCCTCTCCGCAGCCCAGCTCCAGCCTGGCGTGCGGGAAAGCGAATATGTGTGTGAGTGAGTGTGGGAGCGCGCGCGCGCGTGTGGCCGGGGATCCCCGCGGTCCCTGGCCGAGAAGGTTGCGGGCGGAGGACCGCAGCTCCCTCCGGGCCCTTCGCTGCCGGGCCAGCTCGGTGCTGGGCGTTCGGTCCCTCACTTGGCCAGCGGGAGCCCAGAAGAGTGCCTGGCCACCGCGGTTCACAGCACTGGAGAAGCCAGAATCCTGGGGCGCGCTTCTGCCGCGGTCGCCTCAGAGGATAGAGGAAGGCAGAGACACCCACCCCACCAACTTAGGACTTGTTCTCAGCCAGCGAGACACAACGCAGCAACCCCCGCTCAATCCGAGGATGTTTGGAGCTCCGGCCCTCCTGCAGCCGCCCACCCTGGAGGCGGGCCGAGGCAGACCCCCGCAGTCCCTAGGCGGCGACGCGAGTGCGGCCACCCTCTTCTGGAGCGCAAGGCGGCAACGAACAAGGCCAACCTAGGTGTCTGGCTGGTGATGGGGGGAGTCTGCGGTGGCGCGCAACCTTGGTGTTGAAACCACGCTCTCCACCCGCTCCTGGGCGTCTGGTGCTGCTGGAGAATCAATTATTCAGATCTCTGCTACGGCTTCCTCCTCCAGTGCCTCGCGCTGGGTACAGCAATCCCTGCTCCACGCAAGGCACGCCGACACGCACACACCCGCCCAGAGAGTCTGCTCGGATGCTTCTCTCAACGCCTAACCACCCTGGTATGGGAACCCACTCTGATGTCAGGGAGCCAGGAGCCTAAAAGCAAAAACATACATTGCCTCCACGCACAGACGCGCGCGTGCACGCGCACAACACACACACACACACACACACACACACGTGGCGCGCACACACACACACACACACACACACACACACACACACACACACACACACACTTGCTGCTTTCTTCTCTAAGTTATACCAGACAAAAAATAGCCCTGCAGTTGCCACTAAGTCACCAGAAGGGATGAGAGAGCCAGGGCTAACAGGACTTCAGAGCTGACTGGCTCTAATTCTAGCGACTGAGTGAGCATGAGGCTCATTGTTAGTTGCCTACATTTGACCTTTGTATAGTCACCTGTATCCCAAACACCTACCTCTGCCTTTCTCCCCTCAGGAGAAAGGTCTTAAACTCCACTTGATGCCTAATGTCCACCAGGATGCTTATGCCCCAAATTCATAGTTAAAACCCTAAACCCTAGGTAATGATATTAAGAGTGCTGGTCTTCACACAGTGGAATAGAATCACATTAGTCTCTTTATAAAAGAGGTCCTGAAGAGCTACCCAGCTAGCCCAGCCCTTGCCCAGCCAGAAGCTGCCCTCAACACATAATCTGCCTCATGTTGATTTCAGAGAAACTTCTTATGGTTCATAAGCTGAGTAGCTTTTATCGCAGGGCCACCAAATCCAGCCATCACTATCTTCCTTTAACGACTGGATAATCTGGAGAAAGGGCAGTGGACAGCAATAGTATGAATGCCTATTACTCAGGGTTGTCCTGAAATGAAAAGACAGTGAATGGCCTTGGCCAGAGTCAACAAGACCTGGCACATAGTAGATGCTCAGGAAACATAAGAACCCTCTAAAGTAACCCATTCAGGAGGGTACTTCTAGATACACTGATGTGGTTGCAGGAGAGCAGACAAGAAAGGAGCATGGGTCCTGGAGACTGTGGGTTCACTGTTGTACTGATATCTGGGTATGGAATTCCTTGGGGTCTTACACAAAAGAGACCGAGGCAGACAGAATCTGGAAGGTGTGGGAAGTGGGGGAAGGATGCTGTGATATGATCCAGACAGAGACTGAGTCAATGGTCCATTTCCTGAGGCTGAGGATGGGCTGGACTGAACTGGGCCTCTCTCCTGTATGAGATAGCATTGGCGACTCCTGAGGAAATTAAGAGTCTTAGTTCAAAAAGCTATAAATCTGCAGCCAGGTAAGTATGCACCTCTAGCCCCAGCCACTCAGGAGGTTGTGCAGCCTGAGCAGCACACAGAGAGCCAGGCTTTAAAGATAATTAACATAAACAAGCACCTCAAGTGTCAATCATCAACAAAGCAGTGCTAAAGCCAGGCTTAGTGCTACAGCCACTTGGGAGACAGAGGTGGGAAATCATTAAGTTCAGGGTTTCCGTGGACTACAGAGTGAGTTCAAGGCCAGCCTGAACAATTTAGTGAACCCTTGCCTCAGAATCAAAAGTGGAACAGGGTTAGGGATGGGGCTCAATGATAGGAACTGTCGATCTTTAATCCCATATAGTAGTTTTGTCCCTTCTGTTAGCTTCATATAAATGGAATCCACCAGCCACTACCTTGTTTTTGTTTTCTAACTAAAACTGCTGACTCAAAGGTTCACCCATTTTGTTACATGGGTTGACAGCTTCCTATTTGTATTTTTCAAATATTTGCTTCTGGTGGGGGAGGGGGGAGGTCACATGCCATGGCATGTAGAAGTCATTGGGCAATTTTCAGAAGTCATTCACTCCTGCCATCTCACAGAGGCAGGGTCTGTCTTGTGATCTGCTTCCACGTATTCCAGGCTAGCAGGCAGGTATGCTTCCAGGGGGCACTCTTGTCTCTGCTACAGATTCATACCATCACATCCAGATTTTT